ATTCAACTTTAATTTAAATTTTTTTAGGGCGGTGTTAATTCTTTCTTCCATACCAAAAAAAGTGTCGAACATACTTTGTATGAAATAACCTGCGTAAAAAAAAAATTGCCAAAAATCAACAGATTTTCCAGTAACTTAAAACGTCCACTTTGCTGTAATAAAATTTAATGGGCTATAAAACTGCATACCTAGAATTTTTCTACAAAATAGAAAATTGCAAATTAGAATGCAAATTTAATGAATTACCATGGGCTTTGCACGAAATTTATAGATTTTATTTTTACGTTGTTTGGTGTAGTGTGAACTGTATTTTTATGAGAAATTATCGAAAAGAATTTGGAAAGAAAAACTTTGCCTATAATGCGATAAACTCTCTGTGCCAATACTTTTGTTCGAAACTGTACATAGTAGCTTAAGTTTTCTCCCACTATTCCATAATAAATATGTATATTTACGCTACATTTTATTTTATTGTTTCACTTATATTCCGCGTCTTCTCTCTACTAGCATGTAATTGGTTTAAAATTCGTGTTTAAGATTAAAATTTCATTGTATCACTGACACAAACAAATTAAAATATGGCCGCACGAAATAAACATTTAATTTATTAGATACAATTAAGCTGCAAGCCGGCACAGACAACGGCGAGTGGAGGAGGTGCCGTTGAAAGGAAAATATATTCCACTAAATCCACTTAAGTCGTAAGCAAAGCCAAGCTGGACAGCGGTGCGAGAAAGAATAAAATAAACATTTCTTGGACAGCTGTAAAGCGGGTGAAAAAAATATGTATTTAAGAAACACAATGAAACGAATGAAAATTTATAAGACTACTGTACCGTAGAATTGCAACGAAGTGGAAGAGGTTGCACTGTGAGCACCACTGAGAACTTGTTTACCTTGAATGACGTTAATGGTACTACAAATCCATGCGCGCTGTTCACCATCCGGGTAGCTATTACAGTTTCCTTGAGAGCTACTAATGAGAGATTGAAATAAAAAAAACTTCACTTTGGTGATTTGGAATAGCTCGGATACATGTGGGTGTATGTAAAGGATGATGCCAGCAAGTCAACACAGCGCTAAATTTAAATAGCATTCTATTAATATTCGGAATTGGTTAGGTCAGAAAATGCTAATATGAAATCAAGATGGGAATGTGCAATACTGAGGTACCACAAAATCTAGACCTTAGCTCATACAGCATCAAATATGAAGGCAGTGTACGAGGACTTAATCGAATCGAAAATCAAATTTAATTAGTGGATGGCAGCGTGGCTGCTTAGGGCTTTATTTAGGCCTTCTAACGCTGTTCAAGTTTTACAGAGTTGGAGTTGCCTGAATGTTACTTAGTGCATCTCGAGAGTAGGATAATGGTGGTAAGAATAGCCACCGTGTAATCCCTACCGCTGTGTCGGCCGCTGTGGTGTAGTGGTAAGCAGTGCGCGCTTTCACACATCAGCACCTGGGTTCAAGCCCTGGTCAAAGCAACATCCCAAAAGATATAGAAAAAGGTTTTTTGTTAACAGCGGTCGTCCCTCGGCCGGCAATGGCAAAACTCCGAGTGTATTTCTGCCATGAAAAACAGCTTCTCATAAGACTACAATCGCCGTTCGGAGTCGGCGTAAAACTGTAGATCCCGCCGTTTTGTGTGACAATATCAAGGCGCACGCCACAAGTCGGAGGAGAAGCTCGGCGAAACACTAACATATGTGTAAGCGCCAATCTAAAAAAAAAAAAATCCCTACCTCTTGGCTGTGAGGTTTAGGTAGGCTAACAAACGGTTAGGTTTGACTCTTTCAGGAAGATCTGTTGGCTCTTATGCCACGTCGCTGATGGACACTTACAACACCTACTTTCCGGCGACGAGATACAGATACAGGTAGGAATATGAAGGAAACATATGTAGGTAAATAAGTAGGAGTGAAAAATCCTTGTAAATTGCCTCTATACGACCTTGTGAAAAATATCGAAATGGAATTAAAAGAAAGTGTACACTCTTGGAAAGAATTTTTTTAATGTTTGACAACGGTATCTTTGGCTCTATATGCCCAGCGACTAGGTGGAATGCAGAGGTTGAACAAGAGTAAGATTTATTTACTTCATGTTGTCCAGAAGACGGTTGGAAAGAAGGAAGGAAGATGGCACCATGATATCATTACAGTTACGCATTATAGGTTACGGTAGAGGTTGCCGTGTATAAGTATGACCTTTAATGATCGTGGCAGTTTGGGAGAGCATGCCTATAGGGTGGACCAATAGCGCATCGTTTGCGCTGTTTTGTTCTCAATTGCAGCAAGTCTACGCCAGTAATGTTTGCTTGGAAATGAAAATTAAGAGATCCTAACCCAACCGGTTTTTAAAGCCGTACATATGTTTGTCCGCGGAAGATAAATGTCTGAGGGTAATCAAAGATAGAAAGCAGACATGGAAAACCTTCGTCGGGCTTTAAGTCAGTCGACTTTGAGCCGAAAACTGAGCTCTGTACTTTGGGTTTTCCGGGCATAAAAACTGCTTTTAAAGTTGTCAAAACAATAACAACCTATCTTTCGTTTTTGTCTCCAAATTACAAAATTTTAAATAATAATTGGGCATTTGCCCAAAATTTGGTGCAAATCGCATCCCAATCGTGTGAATGCACAAATATGTTTCTTTATCCCAAACACGAAAAAATTATTTTTATTTTCCAAATATAAAAATGTAAAAATTTACAAAAATGTACCAGTCGTTTAACGTGACAACAAAAAACTTAGACTTACTGAATAATCCAGTGATAGGGGGACCAGTATGTTTGCATGCCTTTATATAAAAAAAAAAAATATTTATTTAATATTAAAACATCTATTACTACCCCGGACTCCTGGAGGATAACTTTAGAAGCTATATTTATTTTTTTATTAAAAGAAGAAATGGAATTTTTTTTTAAATTTATTAATATTATTTTGAAAAAATTTTTTTTATTAAAAATTTTAACAAGCGCTAACTGAAAACTGAAAGTATGTGGTTGAGATTTTTCCACGACTATTTTGTTGTGACCGAAAACGAAATTTTCATATGGAATCAAAAGAAAAAATAGTAATTTTATATGAAACAGTATAACGTGGATTATACATATCGTCACCCGTAATCCAGATATATTACGATATTTATACGATAAAATATATACATATATTTTAAGAATCAAATTTCATAATGAAACGTATATACTCATTTTTTCTTTTTTTCCAGGTATGTTTATGAATTTAAGGCATTTGTACCACATACATATATATGAAGGTATGTTTTTTATTTATGTATCTAAAGTCTCAAGTAAAGTCGTATTTAATTATAAACTTCTAACTCTCAATCTGAGTATATTTTAACTTTTGTTTTTGTAGCATTAGAAATGTGAAAATAAACGACTCCGGGAGAACAAAAATGTGGTTAAGGTGGTCCTTAAAATATCAACATCATTTTGTTCTGCGTACAAAAAAAAAAAATAAATATTTTAGCGGTCGCTACTAGAGTCTGAAACAACTTTTTTATTTTAAATCGCAAAAACATGACAATTTTTGACTTTGACCAGCTATAACTCAACGAGTTTATGAATTTTCAAAAATTTAAATCTTTTCAAACTCTGGTAGCGTTCCCAAATTTTTTTCTAAATTTTGAGATTTTTTTGGATGCTTTTGTTTTGCACTTAGAATGTAATGGGGGTGCCATTACAAAATTCAGATGCTGACGTTTATAATAAACTACCCTTATACATATGAAGATAATGCAATGAAAATACGCACTCCCAGTATTTTCAAACCAAAGGCTTAATTTCAAAAGATACCACGTCGGGACTATAGAAAATATAAATGTAAATAATCTATGATTGCATGTAAAATATCGTAATTCTTTTTCATATACAAAAAGACATTTATTTGTGTTCGTTTTTGATGTACCAAATTCACTTTGAAAGAGGAAATTGAACTTTTTTTCACGCGTGCTTGCATGCAAAATATGTGGCGTGTCTACTTACATATGTAAGCATGCGCCTTTTTGTTAATATATAAATGTGGGGAGGTCAATTCATATGTATTACATCCTGTTTCACATCCTCGTATACCTCAAACTTTTATATTTATTTTGAGCTTCATACTTTGCCTGCTTTCATAGTAGGACATGAAATGTGCTTGCTTACCATTGAAGTTACTCATACGCCCCGGTTATATACACAATCAGCCCTGTTCTGCAATCCGAGTCGGAATCGCATCGGAATCGGAATTCAATTCCGACTCGGAATTGAAATGGTGTTCCACAATCCGAACGGAACTTTTGTTTCGAAGTTAATATCGAATACGATTGTGTAAAAAACGGAACAAACCTCCAATCTGTCAACTTTGTTTTCAAGTGTGTCAATTTCATTTGGATAAATAAAACCGAGAAAATAAACCTGAGATCAATTGTTTTATTGGCGATTTTGCTGAATAACGAGCAGCAAACATCTGAAAAAGTGAAGCGAAAAATTTTGCTCGATCACAGCAATCCCATGGAATTACCGGACTCAGCGTTAGTAGTATACAAAGTTTTTTTTTTATACTAACGCCATTTTAAACTATTAATTTATATTTTACAGCTTTATTGCGCTCTTTAGAATAAATAAACAAGCGTTCCTCATGATTTTGAGAGTCTTGCAGCCTTTTGTACAAAGAAGCTCCTCCATTCCCGCAGTGTTGAAGTTGGCAGCAACGCTGCGATTCCTCGCCGAAGGTTGGTATCAAAGGTCTGTAGGAGTGGACTCAAGCATCGCTTTGGGAAGGAGCACCGTCTCCAAGATAATTTCAGAAATAATTACACTCATGGAGCGGAGACTTTGCTCAAAGTGGATAAAATTGTTCATGCCTGAGCAGGAGAAAAGAGCCGCCAAAAGTTCTTTTTACGAACAATTTGGTATTCCGGGTGTAATTGGATGTATTGACGGCATGCACATCAAGCTATTGCAACCACAAGACGGGTGTGCTTTTTTTAACCGAAAAGGAAATTTTAGCATTAATGCAATGATTGTAAGTTGCCACAATAACTGGATTTTATATGGAAAAAAGTTTTCGTAAAATTTGTTTCTCATTTATTACAGATTTGCGATCATAATATGGTTATTAGAGCTATTGATGCTTGTCATCCGGGTTCTAGCCATGACTCCTTTATATGGAGCATGAGCAATGCAAGACAGTTTGTCATGACGAAGTATCGAGATGGTGATCACAATTCGTGGTTATTGGGCGATGCCGGGTATGCTCTGGAACCTTTTCTATTAACACCATATAGAAATCCAGAACCACGGTCTACACTACACGCGTTTAACAAAACACATTCTTCGGCACGTAATATAGTTGAACGAACAATTGGGGTTCTTAGAACTCGTTTTCGGTGTTTATTAGGAACCTTGCAGTACAAACCAAAAAAGGTTGTGAAAATAATTAATGTATGTGTTGCCTTGCATAATATTTGTCGCCACTATAATCTTGAATGTGACTATGATGAACCTGAAGAAAACGCCAGCGAAGTAGATAGTGAAGTAGATAGATTTGTACCAACAGACATTAACTTGCAAAGTGAAACACAAAGAATTAGATACGAAATTGCGAATAATATTATATAATATTTCAATAAAAAACAAGTATATTTAATAAAAACAAGTATTGTAATTATAAACAATTTTCACTAAAAAAACTAAACATTTTAAGACTTTTTACTTTTTTCAAATTCTAAATCAAACTCAATTTCTCGCAGTTTAATTTGGTTTTTTTCCAGCACTGCTTCTTCTACTTTTTTATGGTGATTATTCTTGTCGCTGCGGATGTTTTCTAAAGTGGCATTAATTTTGTCTAAGCCGCGGTAAACTCGTCTGACGTCGGTCTCGGTGTCTTTTTGATTTTTCGCCAGCGCTGCTATGCTTCCAGAAAGGCTTTCATGGAATTTGTTTTCCGCTTGCTTGAATGCCTTCACGGAATCTTAGAAATATACAAAAGGTATAATATATACATACATACATTAACATATACACATATATACATACATATGTAAGTATTCATATTTTATTTTGTAATTTACCTGTAGTGAGGGATTATTTCTGTGCCTCTTTGGGGTCGAAGACGGATTGGTTTCCTCCTCACGGGCTCTTGCGGATGTGGTAGGCAAATCATCATCGCTTAAATCGGGCGCGGATACTGCCTCCTCCCCAGTTCCAAAAGAAGTGGACATTGATATGCCATCTACAACAGCGTACAGTCCGGAAATTCTTGCTACCGTTTCCTACGCCTCCGACAAAGTGTACTTTTTAAATGGGCCGCCTCCGGTAGCCACGGCCTTCTCTTATGTTGTGTGCCAATTTCTTCCTCACTTCACTTTTCCAGTCAGTCCAGGTCTAGTTGCAAAAAATCTAAATATTATTGTTATCCTTATAATCACAATCATATTTTACCTTCTTCCACTGATTTGTGTTTTTTATTGGTGGTCCTTGGCTATTCAACGACTCCCTTAGTTGGCGCCACTTTTCCTCAAGAGCCACTTTCTCTCCTCTGAAGAAGCCTTTGGCTATGTCTGGATTTAGTTCCATGAAATCCAACATAAATATTTTTGCTTTGCTCCGCCGTCTGGTGCTATCCCCTGCATTTTAATAATTTTAATTTTAATAATTACCACTTTTATTTTCTTTACTTACATTCTTTGCTGTTTGCTGACTACACAATTTTTCCTTTGACCGTTAACAGTTATATTTTTGTTTTTAATTTTTTTTAAATTCTTTAATTTTTTGATCCTAGGTATTGTTTTAAAAAGAAACATTTTTTTTTTCTTTTAAAGACTTTTTTATTGTTTTATTATTTATTATTTTTTGATTTTAGGTATTGTTTTATAAAGGAAAATATTTTTTTTTCTTTTAAAGACTTTTTTATTGTTTTATTATTTTTTATTCTCATTTATCTAAATAAACTTTTAGATTTTATTGATTTAAAAAGAAAATATATATTTTTTTTAATCCCATTTAATTTTGAGAAACTTATTTTATTTTTTCTTTTTTATAATGATTTTTCTTTTTGGCTAGATTTTGTTGTTTCTGTTTTAAGTTTAATTTAGTTTAGTTTGTACAAAATTAATTTTTAATTTGTTTTCTTTTTTAGTTAAGTTCATTTTCTTTAAATCCTTAGGTTTTCTTGGTTAAGAAAGAAAAATAAAAATTTTTTTATTTCATTAAATTTTTAGAAAGTTTTTTTGAGATAGTTACCAAAATTGAGAGTCGAATACGTATGTCTCTTTAAAGACTGTGATGAGTTCAAACACAGTTGCCAGAATTGCCCTGATAGTTTCCTCCGGTGTGTCTTTCTTCGTATGTGGTACTCAATACGTCGTTGGTTTCTTCGCCATCAGCAAGGTCATCATCGATACGGTGATCTTAATTTTTTGCGGGAGGCGCCAAAATAGGTTCAACAATTGCGTTGATTTTTAAGATTTTTTATGCTGACGGCTTTTTAATTTAATGGGTTCCAAAACTGCATACTCAAAAAAATTCTAGAAAAAATAAAAAAAATTGTAAATTTGTAATGTACTAATTTTACTCAACTTCGGTGTAAAAAAATTTATAACTCAAATTATTGTAGAGTGCACCCCGTAATACTATGCTTAAATATTGCGCAATACTCAGAGCTACGATTGCGATTTTTTTGAATTTTTTTTTTTTGAGATGGCATATTTTCAAAAACCATTTTTTTTAACAACAAATTCGTATGTGAAAATTTTTCAAGAAAAACAATTTTAAAAATATTTCTTTTCATAGAGAATTGTGAATATTTTCAAATTTTTTCCTCCCTCCGTTCTCGAGATATTTGGAAAACTCTTAAATCGATTTGTTTTTGTTTTTGTGCTGTAAAGTTTTTAAAAATGTATTGATCAAGCTCATATTTCATATTTATTTATTATTTATGTTTATGCATCAACCCTAAAATGGAAGTGTAAACCTCGACCGTTTTGGTATGGAACGCCCCATATACATTTTTAAACCATAATCATTGTATGACAAGCATCCCCAGCACATTTGTGGTTTAATGAGCGAAGGGATGAAAATAAAGACCTCTGCTTCCGCTTGACGTTCCAATTACATAAATACGTATTTAAGCAGCTTTCATTATTCAATTACAGCTTTCGTCAGCATTCCCTTCCCCAGTGTTTCCTATTTAACGGCTTTTGGATTTACATTATTCCAAATAAAGGAATCAATTTGATGATTAAACTACTTAAAACCGCGCGCTAATTAATTTGGTTAATTGATTTTAATACCGCCAGTAATTTAATGCCTTATTGCAGCGAAAAATTCACCTAATTGCGCATAATTTGTTAAGGAAATTAAATTTATTTTAAACTTCACTAAGCGTAATTAAATCTAAAACCTTTTAAGCTATTATAATGAATGCGCATTATTAACGAAACAGGAAACGATTTGGAAGCAACCAGAAAAATGTATTAAATTTTTGCTTGCTCTCCTTATCCTTATTTTTTTTTGTAAAATGTGTGGAAAATTTTTAAAGAATCTCGTGGATTCGCTTTTGCGTAATAAGTCTGACATCAAATGAATAGTAATCTGTTTAAATGACGCATGTAAATAATGAAAGTTAGCATTTTTTTGTGCGCCTCAATAAATTCTTAAATAATTTGATGAAACAATTCAAAATCGTAAAATTCATTGAAAACAATTTTCCATCATTTCAAGTCCCCTACTTGCAGATATGTACATATGTATAGTATGTATATGGCTGATATGTATTTGGCTGTTTGCTTTAAATTGCAATCTTATCCTCTCATTTCGCTTGAATTAATACGTTGAGTGCTACTTGTCACAAAACGGTTTTTGCCCCTACATTGAGACATTTACGTAAGATAATGGCAATAGCTTGTAGATATAAATAAAAATGGAGTGAAAAATTACTTTTCAATTTGTTTGTTGTCACTTTTTAATATTTCAAAATAAAGACTTTGAAATCCAGATGTGGTTTGATGCTTTCGATTTTTTTTTGTTGGTTACTGAATAGAGACTAAGGGCAGTGTAACACGATTGGTAAATTTGTACAGATTTTAACATTTTTTTATATTGGTTTATTGCTGCTGGGACGAAATTTTTTTTTTGCAGTCACACGATTGGTACAATAACAGCGAACTTTTGTTGAAAAATTTGGACAAATTCTTTGATTGTGATAAAGGATAATAATTCTCCATTAACATGATAGCGGTACTGTCTTAAAAAATGTATGTATGTATAATAATAATTTTTTTTGAAATAATATGTGCTTCAAGTTGCGTACTTCGTTGCCTCTCCTTCTGATTGGCATAATAACCACCAAAGCACTCCCGTCGGTAAATTACCTGACAACTGACGCCAATTTTTTGCTGTGCTTGCATATTCAACTTGGAAAAGGCCTAAGAAGTTTATATCGTCAGCATACACCGGCAATCAGTAACATTGGGTATTGTCGAAAATAACTTCCAACGCGAAAAAGAAATGGATATTTTCAAAAATTTGGCGCATAACAAATACCTGGTTACAAGGTGGAAAGCCACACTAATAGGAACTCATCAGCCTCTGCTGTTGCCATTGATTCGAAGCCTTTGGATCCATATGTTTGCACGTCAATACCATCGACCACCTCAAGTAAAAACTCTCTCTCTGTTTCGCTGCTGCTTCTAACACTTCTGCTGGCGCTACTGTTTCCGCTGTTGCTGCTCCCTCTGCTGCTTCTAACGTCAGTAATTTGCGTTATCCACCTTCTTTTGGTTCTTTACGCTCGCCAGCCGTGACACACATGCAATCTCCTGCGCAGTGGACTCGAATACAAAGAAAAAAACCCAAAAATTAGAAAACCATCGAGGATCTGGTAATTGGCGCTACCAATAACACGGAGCTTTACGTAGTCCCATAAAAAAAAAAGAAATGGATCCACTTATCGTCTTTCACATCAATTATTACTGCTGAAAACAATATATCTTACGTAGCCAAAAATGCGAAAATTGACGGTAGTCAAATTGCCTGTTTTCCATCATCAAAATAGATACTGACTTCAGTAAGCTAAAGAAAATTAATTTTAAGCTTGGTGTTTTGCCGCCGCTCTTAAATACGTTATTAAATCCAGGGCTTTGGCCAGCTGACTTTAAAGTGCGATCGTTCCAATATCTTCAAAAAGAAGACGCGACGAGGAACGATGACTAGCAAATAACAAATAGAAATGTTTGCGACTACTAAGATCTGGGCTATGAGGTCCTTGTCCTAATTGAAACATGGATAAGTCCTGATTTTTACGATCATGATTTTTTCGACTCAAAACTGTTTAATGTATTCCGGAGTGCTAATAGCTCTGCAACGTAAATTATAGGCATTTCCAGTAAATCTCTGCAGTTCTGATGCCATTCTGAATCAATTGTGTATCAGCATATAAGGCTACTCAATGTATGGATCCCTGTATCTTATTGTCTCATATATTCCGCCGAGCAGCACAGCGAAATATATAAATCCCATACTGACAGCATCACACACTTGGTACAACATAAATTAGCTGCCAATCACTTGTTTGTTCTAGGCAATTTCAACCTGCAAACTGCTCCAATTTTGATCCAACACCAACTAACTTTACTCATCTCATCTCATGAAACATATTGTTTTGATAATATCTTAAGTCTTGATTAAGTTCAAATTAAAAGTTTTACTAATCAGAACAGAACAGAATTCTTGATTTTTCCTTTTTGGTTGTTGTTGTTTCCGACAGGATGGGTGTAGGATGTATTTTGGAACGGATTTCCGCCATCCCTTATCAAATTTGGTTTGGAGACAAACCGGTTTCGGCGTTGTATCATCTTCAGTGTCATTTTTCGTTTTGACATTGAAGATGGTACAACGCCGAAACCGGTTTCTTTCCAAACCAGATTTGACAAGGGATGACGGAAATTCGTTCCAAAGTACATCAGAATTCTTGATCTTGTTTTCGTTAGTTCAAATATCAAAACCTCCATTTTCCAATGCCATTCAGCAATATCTCCGTGGATAAACACCATATTCCTTTGCTTCTAACAGTTGAATTCTACTAATTTTCTGCCAATAAATTTGCTGATAGAATCCCTTTAAAATTTGATACTTGAGATTTCTCTAAGCTTAACACTTACTTATTGGAAATAAGATGGGATTGTTTGTTTCCTGATTTGGATATTAATGTATTTGATGTGTTTGATATTCGCTTAAAGAAACATACAATTAACAAAAAAGAGGCCACATAAATTTCCTTGGTACACTTGCT